CCTTAGGTGTACGTGGCTGGCGCCCTAGCCGGTTGAGCCATAGGCGCCAAGCCGAGATTCTGTCTATTAAAAAAAAAAAAAAAGAATAAAACCTCCAATGAAATACCAAAATTTAAAAAAACAATTCTTTGATAAAAATATTTCAAATTGTATATAAAACCAGCAAATTGTACCCTGTGATTGCATTAAAATACACAGCTATGACTTAATTAAAAAATATATATATTTTTCTTTCAGAGACAGGGTCTCACTGTGTTGCCCAGATGGGTCAAACTCCTGGCATCAAGTGATCCTCCTGCCTCAGCTTCCCAAGATGTTGAGATTGTAGGCATGAGGCACTGTGATTAGCTCTAAAATGTTTTAAGTGGTTCGGCACCTGTGGCTCAGTGGCTAAGGTGCCAGCCACATACACCAGCTGGCAGGTTTGAATCTAGCCCAGGCTTGCCAAACGACAATGACAACTATAATAAAAAACAGCTGGTTGTAGCAGGTGCCTGTAGTTGCAGCTACTTGGGAGGCTGAGGCAAGAGAATCCCTTAAGCCCAAGAGTTTAAGGTTGCTGTGAGCTGTGACGCCACAGCACCCAACACTCTACCCAGGGTGACACAGTGAGACTGTCTCAAAAAATGTATATATATTTTAAGTATTTTTACTTTTTGAGACAGAGTCTCACTCTGTCTCCCTGGGTAGAATGCTGTGGACAGCAACTTCAGACTCTAGGGCTGAAATGATTCTCTTGCCTTAGCATCTCAAATAACTGGGACTACAACTGTGTGTCATGAGGCTCAGCTAGTTTTTCTGTTTTTAGTAGAGATGGGGTCTTACTCTTACTCAGTCTGGTCTTGAACTTGTGAGCTCAGGCAATCCACCTGCCTCAGCCACCTAGAGTGCTAGGATTACAGGTGTGAGCCACTCTGCACCCAGCCTAGTATTTTTATTTTTTTATTTTTATTTTTTTATTTTTTTTGCGGTTTTTGGCAGGGGCTGGGTTTGAACCCGCCACCTCCAGCATATGGAACCGGTGCCCTACTCCTTTGAGCCACAGGCACCACCCAGTATTTTTATTTTTTAAGGAATGTTTTAAATTATAGAAAATTATCTTTTTGTCCTCTTAAAGAGAATTGGGCTCTCCCTACGTTGCTCATGCTGGAGTGTAGTGGCTATTCCCAGGTGCAATCACAGTGCATGACAGCCTTAAACTCCTGAGCTCAAGCCATCCTCCCATCTCAGCCTCCCAAGCTGCTGGTATTACAGTCATGTGCCGTGGCCCCTGCCAGAAGTTATCTTTTAAGAACAAAAAACTATGAAGTCCTAGTCAATAGTTTTCTCATATGCATCACCTTAACTAGAAAATCTCAAGATCTAGCAAGTCTACCCTTTTCTATGAAGGTCACTAGGAAGTTTTGAGACAGGGTTACATGTAGTCCATCATTTTACTTGTAAGAAACACAGTCGACAGCTGTGTCCTTTCCGATTTATCCGTCCAAGTATCAATCTGTGTGGGTCAGCAGTGCTCCTGGGAGGGCTTTGTTTCTGTCAGGTGGCGCTCGGTTGGTTTCCCCTATGGAGCTGGGAAGAGAGCACTTTTGTGGGATGATTTTCTATGATGTTTTGAGTGATTGCAATGGGCTTCAATGGGCTTTTAGGGACACTCCTTCACAAGTGACAATTTCTTTTTGGTTGCAAGAATTTAGAAGAGGCCAAACTTCACTGAAAGATGAGGAGTGGGCATCTAGCAACTACGGTGATTGAGGAAACCACCACTATGGTTCTGGAAAACAAGTGAGTAACATTTAGGAACACTGAAGTGGACTACAAATTGGATTGCCAGAAGTGCCAAAATCCTGTATGTCCTACATGATTATCTGTGAGTTAGCCCAGTTTCATCCCAATGGAACGATGTCTCACTTTGACAGATGAGCAAAAGCGTATCCATGTTGAAGGAATGTTGGTCAGAGCTGACCAGAGAAGTCCAGACATGTTTATGACATCATTACTGGTGATGAAACTTGGGTTCATCAGTTCCATTCAAAGAATAAGCATCACTTGACAGTGTGGAATTTATTTACCCAAAGAAAATCCACCAACAAAAGTGAAGGGATCCCGGCTCGGTGCCTGTGGCTCAAGTGGCTAATGCGCCAGCCACATACACCTAACCTGGTGGGTTCGAAT